CGGTGCATCAGGCTTAGGTTCTGCTTTAGCAAAGTGCATTAATCTCTCAAATTTCACACATATCCTTAGGTAAAAACAGTTTATTTGTTTTGAATTGTGATATTTTTAATTATAAAAACTAATTAAAAACACTAAAGTTCTTTTTTCTTTTTCTTTTTATTGTGCTTGCTTTTTTTTGTTCTTTCTTTCTTTGTTAATTTAGCTCATCATTTTATTTTCAACTTTTGCTTTTATTGTTAATTAATCTTATTATTTCATATTTTTTCTTCATTTTTTCCTTCTAATTAACTATTTAATGATTTATGTTTTCTTCAATATTTAAAAAGTTTCAATAAAATTGGTGATGAAGGTGCATCAGGCTTAGGTTCTGCTTTAGCAAAGTGCATTAATCTCTCAAATTTGACACTTGACCTTAGGTAAAAACAGTTTATTTGTTTTGGATTGTAATATTTTTTATTATAAAAACTAATTAAAAATAATAAAGCTCTTTTTTCTTTTTCTTTTTATTGTGATTGCTTTTTTTTTAACTTTCTTTATTTGTTAATTTAGCTCATCATTTTATTTTCAACTTTTGCTTTTATTGTTAATTAATCTTATTATTTCATATTTTTTCTTCATTTTTTCCTTCTAATTAACTATTTAATGATTATGTTTTCTTCAATATTTAAAAAGTCTCAATGAAATTGGTGATTAAGGTGCATCAGGCTTAGGTTCTGCTTTAGCAAAGTGCATTAATCTCTCAAATTTGACACTTATCCTTAGGTAAAAACAGTTTATTTGTTTGTATTGTGATATTTTTAATTAGAAAAACTAATTAAAAACAATAAAGCTCTTTTTTATTTTTCTTTTTATTGTGCTTGCTTTTTTTTGTTCTTTCTTTCTTTGTTAATTTAGCACATCATTTTATTTTCAACTTTTGCTTTTATTGTTAATTAATCTTATTATTTCATATTTTTTCTTCATTTTTTCCTTCTAATTAACTATTTAATGATACATTTTTTCTTCAATATTTAAAAAGGTCTAATAAAATTGGTGATGAAGGTGCATCAGGCTTAGGTTCTGCTTTAGCAAAGTGCATTAATCTCTCAAATTTGACACTTGACCTTAGGTAAAAACAGTTTATTTGTTTTGGATTGTAATATTTTTTATTATAAAAAC